ATTTAGGCTTACTATATATATAGCACTTTTTAAGTGTAGATAATAAGGGTAAAGAAGTTACTTACTACCTTAAATTACTATTAAAAGGGTGCTATAGTAAGAAATTACTACAGCTATAGTTACGTTAGCTAAACTATTAGTAACTCTATTAGCTGTTATAGGTATAGTTAGTCTAGTATTACTTATTTACTTCCTTAATTAGGTATTAATATATAGGTTATTTAAATTATATTACGTTACTAATTACTAATTAAAGCTAGCTATACACACTAGTAAATATAGATAATAAATTAAAGAGGGCAAAAGAGTATTTCTCTACTTTATAGTATAAGTTAAGTAATTAGTTATAAAGGGCTATATTAGATAAGGTGCTAATCCTTATAACTATTCTTATAAGGGTAGTTACTTACTTAATAAGTAACTCTAGGTATTTAGCCTTACTTTTGTCTAGATTCTCTAGGATAGTCCTTATTAAATTAGTTCTTTATAGCTTAGTAAGGTAGGCCTAAAAAGTCTCTTTATTCTTAAAATTACTTTTTATCTATATAACTATAGTAATAAAGTTAGTTTAGTTATAGAGGTAGTTAGTATAGTACTCTACAGCCTTACCTTTAAGCATAATAAAAAAGGCGCTTATAAAGTGTTCTTACTAGATCCTAGCCTTTATATAGCGGTAATAAAATATTTTAAGCTTTAATTTAAGTAACTTATATACTTCTCTACTATACTTTATCTTATTAAGGTATAATTTAATAAGGTTAGTAAGCTAGTAAGTTATAAGTAAGGTAGGGGTAACTATTAGTTTAAGGCAGGTTACTACTAGGTTAAATAGTAGTAAGATAAAATTAGGGTTATTATATACTAAGGCTAGATTAATAGGTCTTTATTAACCCTCCTAGACTTAAGCGACTTATACTAAGGGGGTAATAATATAGAAAAGGCCTAGTTAAACTTATACTAATACTAATTCTAGTAGTAAGTCTATAATATCTTATATAAACTTAGGTTCTTTAGCCTTAAGGTAAAAATCCTTACTCCTCTTCTTTTCTTTTTTAATATCTTTAGGTGTCTATACCTTTAGCTTATTAGTCTTAAGGGTATTATAGATTTATTTAGTAACAGTAGGTGACTTTATAGTTAACACCTATATGCCTTTATATATAAGATAGTCTTTAAATTTAATAATTATCTTATATATAGTGCCTCTAAAGGTATTAAGTAACTATTCTTTAAAGTCTTTAGTAGTATATCTTTATAGCTATTAGCTATATAGTCTTACTAGGCTATATTATATTATTTAGAGGATAATAATAATACTTAAAGCGTTACGTTACTTAACTTAGGTAAGGCCGTTAGGTATATTAGTTAAATTAGTTATACCCTATAGTTAGGTAATAATAAAGGGCTAGCTGCGCTCTAGGATAGGATATAGATCCTTAATATCCTATAGATAGATATACTCCTCTACCCTAGCTAGCGCCTGCGGTTTGCCCTACCCTTCACCTAGTCCTTCCTCTGCTATTATTACCCTCTGTTAGCCTTACTAACCTCTTAATTATAGGCACTTACTTCTTGCCTATAGGGTTAGAGGTAAATCCGTACGTTAGAGGAATTACTACTAGTAGTATAGATAATAATAAGATAGATAGATAAATAATATAATAGAAGGAAGTATAGGTTAGAGATAAGGTAAATAAAGGGATAAAATAATAGATAGCCTTAGGGAGATCCTATACCTAGTAATCTTATTAATAGTGCGTAAGGTTAATAACGTTAAAGAACAAGAGGAGACGTATACTGTCTCTAAGAGAAGACGTATATAGACCTGTCTCTAAGAGAAGACGTATATAGACCCTGCTGTAGCAAGCAGGATGCTGTGGTTATTAGAGGGTTAAAGGAAGAGAGGTAAGAAGTTAAGGTTATATACCTTATTAAAGTAGTAATTAGGATAATAAAGTTAAGTAATAATATAAGGTTAAGTAAAGGTTATATTAATAGTTACTTCTTCTTACTAACGTTAAAGAAGGAGAGAAGACGTATGTAGTTATACCTTACTTAAAGAAGAAGGAAAAAAAAGAAGGTAAACTAAGGTTATATAGGTAACCTCTGCCTTCTTTACTTTGTTTAAAGGACAAGAGGAGGCGCGCTTACTAAGGGCAACGCTTAGCTATTAATTTCTAGTAAGAAAATAAGCTGTAATTACTACAGGCCACGCCTAGCTAATAACGTAGTGTTAGAAGTGTATAAGGGTGAGATTAGCAGAAGGCGTTTACTTAGGAATACTACATTAAAAGTAGGTAACTTAGGTGGTTCTTACTTAACCGCTTTATAGCTAGTCCTGCTAGTAAATTCTTATTTAGATAGGAACTTATAGGAGTTTATTTACTTATAATCTTATACAAGCTGTTACTGCTATAGTAAGATAAAAACTTAGTAAGATAAAAAACTTAATAATTAGAGGAAAAAAAGGTTAAATAATAAGGGAAAAATAACTTAAAGAAACTTAGGTATAAAAAAGAAGATAATTATACTAGATACTATAAAGGTTATTAGTAAGTAAGTAGTATATAAAGGAAAAGACTTCTCTAAAAGTAATAAAGTTAATACTAATAGTTATTATATAGTAAACGTAGGCTTAAAGGGTTATTTACTAGGTATTATAAGATCCTAGGTACTAACGATCTTTAGGCTAGGTAGCGCTTAGTACTTTAATCTAAGTTATAGTTAATAAGTAAAGTATCTTAGGCCTCTTCTAATAATCCTTACTAATCTGCAGTAGTAGTAACTATAAAGTTAACTACTAATTAGTGTTAGTATTACAGGGATTACGATTAAGATAGCAGTAATAGTATCAATTTAACTATTAGTTGCTAGGTGAAGATGATTATTAAAAAGAGAAGAGGTTGCTGCTATGGATATTTGTGGTGGTGTAAGTGAGCGGCTGAGGTGGGTCACGTGATATTAATCACGTGACCATGGATTGGCTCCACCATTGAACAGTCGAATATCCCGACAGTTAATGAAATGATAGGAGACGACTTACAGTAGGGTTCCCTTTTTGGTTCATTGGGTACTACTATAGTATTCCCACCAGACAGCTGTACCTGTGGTGGCTTGTGGGATGATCTTCTAAATACGCGAGAAAAACCACATATTTTAAATAGTTGTGGTCGTGAGATAGCGATAGTGGCAAGTAGTTGTAGCTGGCGATAAATTAAGCACTATAGAAGATTTGGATAGCAGATGGTTAAAGAAGTGGCAAAGACAAGGCGGGAATGAGCGTCCAGTAGTGCTGTTATATAGTCCCTTTAGATAACTAGGTATGACTTATAATATGTTAAGTTTAACGCTAGGAGTTGGTCTGGAGCTTGCGAGCCGTAACTCAGCCTTGGATAGTACAGAAGGCTGTGAATAAGGCGCAGTAAGGGCCTAAGTATCTACTGCCCCTCCTGAACATGGTCTGTTTTGGGCCTTGGCCACAAATACAATGTTAGACTATATAAAGAGATTAGTTTGGAACAGGTTATATTAACTATCTAATCACAATATTTAAGTTTAATGCTGCTATTCCTACGTAGTTATTAGAGCGTATTACACCGTTAAGCTTGTGAGCTAAGCTGTGGCCTACAGGGCCTGCTGTAACAAAGTTATAGGGAACCCCAGCCTAATCCATAAGGCGTTGCGTTAAGAGGAAGTCTAGACTAGGGAAATGCCCAGAAATAGCTCATTAGTTGATGAGAGGTGATGCGGACGATTCTGCTGTCTCCTTACACACTAAATCGGCTCCTCTAGGACTTATAACTAATTGCTATGTCTGGCTAGGATCTCCACTTTGGATCTTCCCTTCTAGAGATTGGCTGTGCCATATCGGCCTATGAAAACTACTGATACCGTGTCGCCACGTCTACGTCCCTGACGGGCTTCGTCATCCCCTGGTATCCTCTCAGCTAGTTAATGTCTTTTCTCTGATGCCCCTGACGTCTTCTGTCATTTGTTCTAGGGAGCTTTAGAGGCGGCCTGGTGCTGTCAGCGTGTTAGAAAAATAAGTCATCCCAAAAGTCGCCATCATCCTGCTTCGAAATATTATATCAGGATCACAGTAAGACATCGCGGCATCCACGTTGCTTGAGTTTTGCTTGAGTGTGTCCGAGACCCATTCCCGCCCTGGTCCCGGCAGGGAGTTGCGTATTGGCTACCGCCGTCCAGTTCACCAACAACGAATCAGTTGCCCCACCCACCCCGGAGCCTTTCTAATAGCCTCTCGGTTAGATCAAAAGTAATGCATCATTATATCCTCCAGCCTGAACTGGCGGTTCGGTCGCAGCAGAAGCTGAAAATCAGTCTGGTCAGGCGGTGTGGCCGACCCATTTTAAGTTCCTTGAGCGCCGCCTACTAAGTGTGGCTACTTTGCTTACTCGCACTGTCTGAGTCTATGATTAGGCAGCCACGCTATTTTTAGAGATTTAGAAAGCACATTATGGCTGTTTTGGGCCTTCAAAACATGAAGAGTGTATGGAGCAGAGGAAGCGACATATGCTCATAACTGTAATAGCTTTCGTTGACCTGCTGGTCCGTTGGTCACTCGGTTATCAGTCGACTGTTCAATAGGCGAAGAAGTAAATCAAATAGCCCTTAGTTAATGAATCACTAGAGTTGGATACTGAAAGGTATCCAGAGAATATATCACAGGTTGATTGCTTAAGAGCCATGAAAGGTAATCTATTTAAGTGGAATGAATGTCCATATATTTCATGGTGCTTTCTTGGATCATTGTCCATTGTAACTGATCCTTGGTGTTGGATCAGTTCTCTGGTATACTGATCGTAGGTTTGGGATGATCAACACTGATCCTACTGGTTATCATTGTAAGCACGCGTTGCCCCGAGGAGCTTCTCCGCCCCTGGCCCAGCGCAAGGTTTTGCACGCGGTATAAATAGGCCATCCCTTTTCTGAAAATGTGTTCCTCAACTTTATCAGCAATTCATTTCTCATTCCGCACCATGTCTCAGGACACAGCCAACAGTCCCTCTACACCACGCAATCCATACGATTCGAACAATCAGAACATTTCGAGGCATGGTCCGAATCTGAACGGCATGCACCTTGTCGCCCTCCACCACATCCAACGGGGACACAAGTCCGCAAAAAAGACTCGGTGGAAGAGTGAGTCACCTCGTGTTTAGCCGAACTCCTCGTTTGCCCTGTCCTGATAGCACGCCCTCACCCCTTCGTCCTAGGGCTTCACAAATCCGTCACTAGTGTGCCTCAAGCGCGCCGTTTCGTCTGCAACTAAAGCTCTCGCAGTTAACTCTAACAACCCTCAGACAGCTGGCGTCAATCTCTAGAAGAATACTGCCTAAGGCTTTAGGTTGCCTGTATCTAGTTAACTAGATCCTCTTGCTATCTAGGCGTAACCGCCTGCTAGAGCGCCTCCTATAGTAGTCCTGACCTATATATATTATACTAGCAGTAGGAACGCAGTGTTAAGTACCTAAAGTACTAAGGTAATATAAAACCAGCTTACTCTTATGGTCTATATATAGGAGGGATGCTTGTCTAGAGTTAATAACAGTTAGTGACTTTAGCAGCAGCTTATGTACGTCTAAACAAGATATTTACTATATGTAACACGCCTACCCTGCAGCAACCCTGCCACAAGCGTAATGTGGCCGCTGTTGGGGTCCAATCGGGACTTAGCGGGCACAGGATCGACCCCTAACCAACGCTACAGTGTGCAGTGGAAACATGGGGAGGGGTGGAAGGATGAATGGCAGGCACAGGAAGCTACGTAACGGTACATGGCAGGGATTACCTGGACCCCCGGCAGGGAACAAGGTAAGTGGGTCATAAATCAGACGAGACGGGCCTGTCGGGAGATGCAGTATCCGCCAGCTCGCAGCCAGAGCCCGCGACAATGTGCAGGCATTTCTTGGCGCGCTTGGCATGGACCCGCCGCAATCTGTGTTGAAGATTCGGTGGTGCATCTATTCGAAGTGTCACCCACTGGCCTTCTCCGAGTTTTCATTTGCGTCACACCTTCCAACACAGCCGGTTCTTGAAGCCATCGTCCAAGAGCACTAAACCCAACGTGTCAGGGCCCGCGTCTTGTCATTTTTGATAGCGCCAAGATCCGCCAGGAACAGTGAGATTGGCAAAACGGACAGACGCGCAGGAATGGACGGAACCAACCATCCTCCCAATGAGGGCGTCGCCGGATGCTCTCGTCTGAATGCTTTGTCTAACAAATCCAAATCACGACACCGTTTGTGTGAGTAAAGCAAAGGAGAAGGGTGGTTATTGAAATCTATCTATAAGGCAACGGAATATGGTACCCGAGGCGTAGACTATGCCATAGGTGCCACGTTGAAGCTTGCTTCATGCCAACGCTATACTGGAATGAATAACTTGTTATCCTAAAACTTAATGTGTTTTCTTGTCCGTCGCGCGCACCTCCCGTCATGCCCGAGTCTCAAAGTCAGCCAGAACTTGGAGAACGTCGTTTGTCCAGTTACGATAACCATTACTTATAGGAATTTATTTAGAAATAGGATAAGTAAAAAAAGGCTTATCAGGAACATGGCCCTTTTTTCGCCATTCTTGAATGATACGAATGAGATAAAATGCCTCAATAGCGTCCTTTGGCCGGATTAAACATGCTTGTTGAAAAGAAAAGAAGTCGGTGGCCATATGAACCAACTGAAGTGCCGTGCAAAAGTAGCGTTTGTCGAGAAGTTTCTGGAACAACTCATCGCTATGACGTGTCTTTTCGATGCGGTCTGGCCCATAGCTCCTTAAAACCTCCACAAAATCCGCAGGATCGGTATCAGCAAGCGATAAGGTGTATTGGAGAAGAGTTAGGCCATAAAAAGCCAACGATGAAAGAGTTGTATTCAGGCTTGTCTCTGACATCGCCGTCAAAGCTATCGTTGACTGGAAATGACATGCGTGGAGAAGGCGGTAACCAAATCCTACCCCATGGTTGAGAAGGAGGTTTGACACTGCGTACTGGTTTCTTTCGACAGCCAAGCATAAAGGTGTCAAGGTATCGCAGCGCTTTTCCTTACGTTCGCGAAAACCTTCGGCATTGGGATCGGCTCCACGTTGGAGAAGCAGTTCTGCTAATCTCTGTAGACCCGAGGATGCCGCTAGATGGAGGAGAGTGAACTCCGGCCCTTAGAACTAGAACCACCTCCAACCGTCGGCATTAAAAACTCTCTCGTATCTGCACTACACTCGAACGCAAGTTAGGTGACAGAACGCCCTTCACCGCTATTCCTATCCCTGCAATTATACCACAAAACGGTCTATTAGGCAGCATAGTCAAAATATATAAGGACGCTCTCAACTAACGTTATTGCCTAATCTACTACCCCTATTTTCCTAAATTCTACCACTAGCTTCTTGTTTAGTTATTGACGCTTGCCTTTAATATGGATCACAACAACGCATCGCATGCAGGTAATAAGACAACTAAGGTAGGCTTATAAGCTTATACTCTAGGGTTATATTCTAATAATATTAGGACAATCTTGTGTAACAGAACCCTACAGTGCGCCCTAATATTAACAGAGGCAATCTAGAATAGATTTAAATCTCTTATAAAATTGTTTCTAACTTATAGTTTGTTAACACTATAAAGGTCCTTTATATTAACGTTAGACAAGATTTAATTCAATCTAGCTAGAAAAACATTAACTTCCTTTTTAGCAGTATGTCTTATTCCACTGTCCTGCCTTATCTGGATTTTAGTGAGGGTAGTAAGAGTGTTGCTAACTTAGAACTGCTTATAATTAAATTCTTTTTTTCTAAGCTTCTAGGACTTATTAAAGTTTACCTTTACCTCTTTAGCCACTTTAAGAATAACTACCTGACTTTTCTTAAGACGGTTAAATTACCTACTGTGACGGCTTTTAGTATATAGTATGTTTAGGATAGATTAAGACCTAACCTTACTATAGCTTTCTAACTTCTTAGCGCTGCTCCTAACGCCTAGTTCATAGTAATAAAGGGGTGTAGCAGTAATTCCTTTAACTTTTAAACTAAAGTCCTAGATCTACGCCTTAAATAGCTTTAACTTAATAACACTTACCTAGGCAATTATAAAATTAAATTCCTTAGTTAAATTACTAAGCTCTATTTCCTTAGATATACCTTTAACTTCTACTTATTAAGGTTTATTAAACTTCTAGGCATTATGCTAACAGGCCTAATAAGAGCTATCCTGCCTTAAGCATTACGACTTAAAAGTCTGCACCTTACTGTAGGTAAAGGCACTCCCCTAGATAATCTAGGTATAATTAACTCCTTAGAGAAGTTTCTGGCCTTGAAAGTTGTCTCTATTGCTGTGGAATTTATTAAAGACGTTCCTTACTTTGTTAAATCCCTTCTACGCTTAGTTACCAGCCTTACTATTATTAGTAATAGATATAGGGTTTATAAAGCATTAGAGAAAATTAAGTTAGAACGTTTAATTACTATTAAATATCTTAGCTGTAACCCTGACTACTTTGCTAGTGTCGCCTAGTTAATGTTAGGCTTGTACCTGTAAGCTAAGTTATAGGAATTAAGAAAAGTTGCTTAGGGGAGCCGTAAGTAATTAGCATTATGTGTATATACTGTGTTAGATAATATGGCTTCTTTGTTCAGCTGTCCAAGAATATCCGGTGACTTGTGGTACTTGGTGACTATCTCGATCTTGGCTGGTGACATCCACCATTGGCTTTGAACAGCACCGACCCATGTCGAGGCAACATTGAGCCCCGCGCGCTAATCCTCTGCATTAGCCCAGCCGTTGCAATGTGGCCAGCTGCGCAACCTTCATTATCCCGTTAGGGATAGTGACCAACCAGATCCCTGCCAAAGCATGCATTAGAAGAGACAGCAACAAGAGACGCTGGCCAGGGGTCTTTCCTTCAGTTATATGAGGACAACTTGTGCAATGCCATACTTGGGCTGTTCAAGTTCATAATCAACTGGAACAACACCATAGGCCAGCCTGACACCGGCAATCACGATATTAAGGACGTTTCAATTCAGGAAATATATCGCGCGATGAACAAAATGTACAACGTCATGATGCAGGTCGAGCAGCAATACACCAGAAACCTTCAAACACCTCGTGCTTCTACAGATCCCGATGTTCCGGGCTTACAGGACCACCTGCCCGTTCAACAACAGCAGAATGGCCATTGTCTTTCCCTGTCTCAGAAGCGACTGTAGAGTCCACCAGGCACGGAATTACGATAGCCCGCAGGCATGCGAAGAGGGTTCAGAAGGAGGTATCAATGAAAACGAGGCCACGTTCCCCATGTTGGGTCGTCAAGAACGAAACTCCATGTGATGTTTGCCTGCTTGCTGTAGTCCGCAAGTTCTTCAAACCCTGCCGTGATTGTCAAGCTTAATGGCCCATTAGGACTTAACGACTTGGGGAGACGGCGGGTGATCTGGCTACACCTGGGACACATAGTGGCAAAGATCAACTAATGCCTTCGAGACAACCACACCCTTGAGTTACTACTCCGAAAAGGCCGGCTAGAGAAACTTCCTAAGCGGTACAAAAGGGCTATTAACCGATCCGCCCGCCCTCTCAAACTAATGACCAAAAGCCGGTCTCGATCTCTGTACAATGTCTCTACCAACAGCAACCCTGTCGCACAAGCTGGAAGTTGGTCGACTCTTGACTACAATATCACACACCTGCCGCCTCACCCTGTGAAAACCGACCCATCCCAATATGCCCTCAGTAACCTGCATCTCCCGCTTCACCACCGGAACACCCAATGTCGGCTGTTCCCTAACGACCGACAAGTTCTCCAACGATTCCCGCAACCGATCATAGGAACAATTAGACAACACCGCCATTCGGATGTCAGCCACACCTGAATAAAGCTCTTACTTACCTTGCATGCCAAGTTCATCGTTATGCTGATCCAGCTTTCGTTCATTTCCTATTCACTCCGTTCCCATGCTGGCATTGGGTGCAATGGGTCATTCAACACAGCAGCTGTTCACCACTGTTGGCTGGGCTGACAGAGTGTGCGATTTCTTCCTCTGCGGTTAAGTGCAGCGACGGTAGTAGCTGATGAAGATTAGCTCCAGTGGCCATTTTTCAAAGAGTCGTTTTTCTCGGGGCGAACACGGCAGTCGGCCCTGCAGCTTATTCCGATCTGAGAGCCAGTGGTAATGCGCATTGAAAGCACTGTACATCCTCAGCGGCAGAGCTCATTCAACACACTGCAGTCGCAGCAGTATCCTTGGTGGTTGAGGTCAACCTGCTTGGCTATGGCCAATACTCTCAAGCATGGAGATGAGGAACCTCGTTCATACGATCTACCGCCAGGGCAGT